TATCTAGTTTTAACACAAATATGTGCGATAAACAAAATTCGCAGAACTTGACCCAGGAAGGTTTGACATCATCAATGATAGAACATTGAGGCGCCGCCGTTGATCTGTTAGTGACGGAACTTGGAAGCGAGGCTAATGGCGTCGGAGTCATCAAAGACCATTTGTATCGTCGTGGGAGGACTCTCCGTTGGGGAGGTCACCCCTTTTTCTTTCGACGAAGGTCTCTGCAACTCGTTCGAGAAGCCATAACGCCAATCGCCAGAAAAAGCGAGCAGAGGAGAACCCTTCCTTCTTCTTCTGGTTGCAAGGATTCGAAATCCCTTCCGCAAGGAGAATCTAAGTTGTTGGTGAGCAATGAATTTGGGGCCGACAAGGGAGATTAGAAAGGGTAGGGAGAGGGCTAGCGGCGTCTAGCGGCGGAGGACGGAGGAACAGGGGAAGAGGATAGGGCATTAAGGTATCGGCGTGTAGCAGCGGAGAAGAGAGGGTCGGGATGGGGGGAACGAAGTGGTGGTAGGTTGGATGGGGTAGGTACCCTTTATGTTTTGGGGTGGTTGAATTTGGGTTCAATCAAAATATTGAAAAAACCCAACCCAAATCAAACTAACCAACCCACGGACATAGAGGACTAAAATGAAAGAAAAACTAATTCTATGAGTTGATCTGTAATTTTATTTAATATAAATTCCGAAAAAACAAATCATTTAATAAAATTTAATCTCAGCCGTCGAGATCACACGTACGGTTAAGATCATCAAGGTACGCCATACCCCGGAATTTACCCGGGGTACGATAGAACTGGCCATATATATGTGGTGCCTTCTACGGTACCCCGGGTGAAATCCGGGGTACGACATACTTTGAGTATGAAAACACTATCTAGACCTCGAATTAGTAGGATTTTTGGGCATGATACTATGCCCTACCCTTAATGAGTGAACCCTAGGTCCTAAGTATCTAAATCATAAACTATAAACCCTAAGATGGTGCATTGTTTTTTCCCCCCATATTTGGATGAATCATAACCGTCGATTATTGTTTCTAATTAAATTGATCTTGGGGTATAAGATTTAGAGAATTAAGACATAAATTTTGATCTTTAAGGGTTAGAGTATTGTATCATATCCGAAAAATCAGTCAATTCAAGTTCTGGATAGCGTTTTCTTACTCAAGGTATGCGGTACCCCGGGTTTCCACCCGCGGTAGCGTAGAACTCCCCACATATATATATATATATATATATAATATATATATATATATATATATCGAGATTACCACACTATACCATATGGTAATGTGTATATACCACACTATACCATATGGTAATTTGTATATACCATATGGTAATGTGTCTATACCATATGGTAAAGTGTGATAACGAAATGTATTTTTATGGATATCGTGTTTTACTATGGTCGTAAAGGGTTGTAATTAGATTTATATTATTTTTGTATGGTTTTACCTTCTCATACCATGTGGTATTGTATGGTAATTACAATTAATTTGTGTTCATTCGATTAACCATGTTCTACTATGGTGGTATTGTATGGTAGTTAGATTTATAATTTTTTGTAACATGTTTTACCATGTGGTGGTAGTTGGATTTGTAATTTTATTTTAGCATGTTATACCATATGGTATGATATGGTAAATAGATTTGTAAATTTCTGTAGCATGTTTTACTACGTTATACCATGTGGTATACTGGTAGTGTATGGTAGTTAGATTTGTAATTTTTTTCAACGTATTTTACCATGTTTTACCATGATAGTAGACAGTGATAATAAATTTCATATTTGTAATTTCTGTCTTTCGCACTAAATTATTTAACGAAAAAATCAACATTTAATTTGAGTTGAAATTTGAACAAAGATAGCTAGGATGATCAGATTCATTTTTGTTGTAGATGAGAGAGAGGAAATAATGTACTTTTCTATACATAATATTATGGCAATTCAAAAATAGTTTGTTGCCACATAAGCATTTGGAGAATTTACAAGGTGCCACGGTGGACACTTTTTTTAAAAAATAAAAAAGTTGGTTAATGATCAATTAATGTAGCTATATCTATCTTATTTTAATATTTTCTTTTTATTTTAATGATCATTTATGTAGCTATCTCTATTTTCTATTAATGTTTATTTATTCAATAATAGTTTTTTGCAATATATATATATATATATATATATATATATATATATATATATATATATATATATAGCAGTATACTTATGTTTGGAGAGTGACATATATTATAATCTTTTAAAAAATATATATGATTAAATCTAATCAATTAATTTTTTAATTTTAATTATATTAGAACTCAATATAGGTTATAATAAAGGAAGTTTAGATAATCAAAATTTAATAATCAATTGAATTTGAAAAAATAAATATAATTTTATGTTTTAGTTATCAAACACTATCTTTTTCTAATGTTTGTATCTATCAACGAAAATAAGTATTAAATAGAAAAATGCTTTAAAAGTAGACCTGTCAAATGAGGACCCGACCGGTTGACCCGATCCGAACCCGCTCGAAAAATAGAGAATGAGCTGAGATTTTTATAACCCGAAACCCGAATGACCCGAACTCGATTAACCCGTGGTTTTTGGGTCGGGTCAGGTTGGTTTGTGGGTTGACCCGCTAGACCTATTTCATTGCATATGTCACTCTCAAAATGATAAAATCACTCATACTTTGGTGAGATGTTTAAAAAAATTATTAGGATTTGAAAGACAAGTTTGGAGTGTTAAGATAATCAAACATCATTTGTTTATTGTAATAGTATTACTTTCGTCATTGTTTTTTAATAATTTGTGCAATTTGTATTTCTTTTCATTAGCATGGAAGGAGTTGAGCATTTGTTAATTGACATGTGCTAGGTAAACTATTGTCGCACCTACGTAAAATTAATTTGTGTTCTTTAAAAATTTATGAAGCATGTTTGATATAGTTTCTGAGAACGCTCATGACCCAAAACCCGATGGGTTGGGTCAATATTTGACCCGGAATCAGCAAACCCATCATGACCCGACACGTGAAGACCCATAACCCGAGATTTCCAACCCAAAATTACCCAACCCGACCCGATTGCCAGGTCTATTTAAAAGTTGTTTTTTCATTTTGATAGAAACTTGACGAAGCCATAATATAGTACTTGATTGTGCAAATGAAGATGATAAAGAAAGACAAATTTTATTCTCTATTATAATGCATGTTTCCATACCTTATTTTTGCTTACATTTGTTTATATTTCCCCTTATTTTTCTTAACAGTTTACATATTTCGGTCAAACAAAGGTGTTAATTACACTTAAAAATACATTAAACTCTTTATATTTTTATATGTATATTATGACATACCTTGAGTAAGAAAATAATATCTAGACCTTGAATTGACTGGAGTTTGGCATATGGTATTATTCTCAAACCCTTAAAGATTAAAATCTAGGTCTTAAATTTATAAATCTCATACCCTAAGATCAATTTAATTATAAACAAAAATCAACGGTCATGATTCGTCAAAATATATGCAACAAATTACATGCACAATCTTAGGGGTTCAGCTCTATGATTTAGATAACTAAGACCTAGGGTTCACTCATCAAGGGTTAGGGTATAGTATCATGCCCACAAATCTGGTTAATTCGTGGTCCATATAGCATTTTCTTACTTAGAGTATAGTATCATGCTTAGATATTGACAATATAGGTGGTATTGCACCAACAAAATGAAGATATTAGTATAAGTAATGGAATTTTTATCCCAAAACAAACACCAAATATCATAAATTTTAGCAAATGCATATTTGATAAGTTAGAAAATTATACACCAGTGGACCATGTTAAGATTAGAACCCTCGACAGTGTGTGAGTATCTTGGTCCGAGATTCTAAACAACGACCATGAGTTGAGGGTGAGTCTAAATTAAACTTCAGGAATTAACAATTGATACATATTGTATAAGATATTAAATTGAGTGTCTTGGTCGACAAATATGATCTTACACTAAGACAATAAACTTTCAATTGGGATGACCAAATTTATCTAATATTGAAGTACCTTTATAAAATAAATTTTAACTAAGTTGTCGTCATCTTGAACATCATTGGTTGAGAGTTCGTCCATACTCGAGATTCATTTAATGGCATATATTGTATAAGATGAAAAAAATTGAGTATCGTTGTTGACAAATCTTGACATAAGATTCTATATGGGACGTGATATATCTTTGTGGCATGATTTATGATAAGAGAATCGAAGCATCATAAGTGAATGTGCTAAGTATTGAGAATTTATAATTTATAGACGCACCGATACTCACGTATGAATGAAAATGTAAAAAAAATTAGAAGATCCAAAATAGTTTAAACATATAGATAAATTGATTAATTTAAATGATAAAATGAAAATCACCGGCTAACGGGCCGGGTAAAAAGCTAGTTCTAATAATAAAACAAAGAGTAAAAGAAAGAGAACTAGGTGGGGTGGGAGAGTGGGATCCGCGTCAGAGCGTCAGATCATCAGCGTCAGCATTAAATAGGGGGTACAATTTACCCTATTACCCCTCCGTGTTGAATTTTAATAAAAGAAAAAGGCTGACACGTGGGGGCCAGGGGAAGGGGTTACTGATGGAAGGGTTACTGAGGTGATCCGGTCCCGAACAATGGAGGTCTTAGGATTATGGAGTTTCCATTGTTGCTGTTTGCGAGTTTCCCTTTTTTTTTAATTACGAGAGGAGTCGAACAAATAAATATTAATATATTATTGTTGTATATATATATATATATATTATTCTTTGGGATATTTTGGTAAAACCGGCGTAATCGGCATACGAACTGGTTGTACCACGGTTGAACCATTCCACTCATAAAACCGGCGCACCGGTATAAACCGGTTTGACAACCTTGACATAATGTTAGTTGTCAACAAAACGAGCGGTCGGGATTAAATCATGCTTTGCGAGTGCATGTACTTTGCTATAGACTCGCTAACAGGTGATCAAGACAGTAGCTGCAGCCTGCAGGAGACGTTTTCACTTTTTGCGGGGAAATTTCCCAGCTTTCCCTTCCGTCGAAGTTGAACAGTAAACCACTTTCTCTAAACCCTAATTTTTAGAGAAACAAATACGATGCCAAGTCCATCTCTTTCTCTGAATTGACCCTTTCGCCAAGTAAGTTCCATTATTCCCCCTCTTTTGCGGTTTGCTAGATGTTTGCTGTTTCGAGGATGAAGGCTCTGTTTCCCCTTCAAATTTCCCATCCCATTGCGCCGGCGTTGCCTCACGCTGTCGCCTTCCTCTCCGCAGCTCCCAAGTCGGCCCTTTTTTCTTTGGAGACTTGTATGATTTCTGCCGCGAGGCTGCTGATCAGGATGGTAAAACTGTAATAATAGCTGGCTTAGATGGTGATTACATGAGGTAACCACTTAAAAGCTTACTCTTTCAATAAATTGTGCCTCTGGTTTCATATATGATCCCCCATTGTTAACACAGGAGGAGTTTCGGTGCTGTTCTCGACATAATCCCACTTGCTGATTCCGTGACCAAGCTGACAGCTCGCTTTCCTTGTCAATTGAGGCTTTCTTTCAATTGCAAACTAATGTCCAGATGGTCAAATCGAAAGCTTGTTTCCTGTCCAACCATTCAGCTGAAAGTCTTTCCTAGAATCCCATCTATAATCCTTCCCCCGCCAACCTCCCATCGTTATTTCTCCGATTCTCCCTTGGAGCTCAAGGGTTCAAATGAGGAAAATGAATGGGAAAGATTGCTTAAACCATTTGACCTCAAAGAGCTTCGAAGGACACTCAGTCATAGAATCACCCCTTTTCAGCTCTGCAAGCTGCTTCATTTGCCTCTCGATGTCTCCATTTCCACGGAGCTTTTCAACCGGGTGGGCGCTCAGAAGGGCTACATGCACACATTTGATGTATACTATGCTTTAATCGATAAGCTTGGTGGTTCGAATGACTTCAAATCTATAGACAAGTTGTTGGTCCAGATGAAGGAGGAAGGGATTGTCTTCAGGGAGTCTTTGTTCATCATGATCATGAAGCATTATGGCAGAGCTGGTTTCCCTGGGCAAGCCACTAGATTATTGTTAGATATGAAGAATGTCTATTGCTGTCACGTCACATTCAAGTCTTACAACGTAGTCCTCGAGATACTCGTCGCTGGTAATTGTCCTGTTGTCGCATCGAATGTTTTTTATGACATGTTGAGTAGAGGCATCTCGCCGAATGTTTACACATTTGGAGTGGTGATGAAGGGTCTCTGTATGGTCAATGAAGTGGACAATGCTTGTTCTCTACTTAGAGACATGACCAAGCATGGATGTGTGCCAAACTCTATTGTTTACCAGACATTGATACATGCTCTATCGAAGAGGGATCGAGTTGATGAGGCTCTGAAGCTCTTGGAAGAGATGTTCCTCATGGGCTGTAGACCTGATTTGGATACGTTTAATGATGTTGTTTATGGGTTATGTAGGGTCAAGAGGATCCACGAGGGTGCTAAGTTGATTGATCGGATGGTTCTGCGTGGGTTTATCCCGAATGGATTGACGTATGGATACCTAATGGATGGTTTGTGTAGATCGGGAAAAGTAGATGAGGCAGTTTCCTTACTGAACGAAGTACCGAGCCCTAGTGTTGTCCACTTCAATATCGTTATCAATGGGTATGTGAAGAGTGGTAGACTCGATGAAGCTAAGGAAATTCTCTGCGGAAGGATGATAAACAGTGGGTTTATCCCCGACCTCTTTACATTCAACATACTTATATGCGGGCTTTGCAGGAAGGGGTTGTTTGGTTCCGCTCTCGAGATTGTTGATGAAATGGGTCGGAAAGGTGTTGAACCGAATGTGAACACGTTCACGGCTTTGATTGATGGTTTCTGTAAGAAAGGTAGGCTTGAGGAAGCCAGCCAAATCTATGAAGAGATGTCTGCCAAGGGACTTGGTCTGAATACACTGGGATACAACACTATCCTCCATGCTTTGTGCAAATGTGGGAATATGTCTGAAGCTATGCAGATTTTTGGTGAAATGTCGAGCAAAGGATGCAAGCCTGACATATTTACATTCAACACTCTAATCTTTGGTCTTTGCAAGGCCAATATTATGGAGGATGCCATGAGACTCTTTCATGATATGGTGTTAGAAGGTGTGATTGCAGATAGTGTTACTTACAATACTCTAATTCACGCTTTCCTGAGGCGAAATGATATCCAGGAAGCGATCAAGCTTATGAACGACATGGTTTTTCGAGGGTGCGCTTTGAATGAGACAACTTACAATGGTTTAATACGTGCACTATGTACAGCTGGGGCGGTGGAGAAAGGGTTAGGCTTGTTTGATGAAATGATCAGGAAGGGTTTGGTCCCCAGTAATGTTTCAGTTAACATAGTGATCAATGGCCTGTGCAGAGCTGGTCAGATGAACAATGCGATGGAGCTTTTGCGAGACATGATTCATCGAGGTATCGAACCTGACATCGTCACCTATAACAGCCTGATTAACGGTTTCTGCAAGATGGGACGTGTCGACGAGGCATTGAATATTTTCCACAAACTGGTGGTTGAAGGCATACAACCCGATGTTGTGACTTATAACACTTTGATTTGCTGGCACTGTCGAAAAGGAATGGTCGATGATGCTTATTCACTTCTGGATAGAGGTGTCAAGAATAAGTTTATACCAAATCAAGTGACATGGAACATCTTAGTCCATAATATTGTTAAGGATGGTAAGTGAGGTTCCCTTGCAAAAGGACCATTTTGTGATGACATTTGTTTTTCTTTCTATTAAGTGTCAGTGAATCCTTCCTGTAAATGGCATGCCACTTGCTTTTCCTGTTCTTCCATCGTCTTTTTTTAGTTTGTTTCATGGTGGAAATTATTAGTATAAGGATGCTTGTGAATCGATTAATAATCTTCAAATTCTGGGATTTCTGCAATGTGAAAAATTTCCTCACTTTCCTCTGTTAGCTTGGATTGCAAATGGCCATTTGTGCTTTGACTTGGCAGCTACTGAAATGGAATATGTCAGTATGGCTTCCTTCATTGGTTTCTTTGCATTTTGCTTAGCTTCGGTCAGTTTGAACAAGAATTCTGAACTCTTCACTGATACCTGCAAGTGGCAGCTTGGAATGTTCTTGGGAATGTGTCATTTCGTGGATTTCATGGATTTCGTATAAGCATTCTCGTAAATGGTTGCGCAATTGCTCTCTGCATTTGGCTACAGCTTCTGTATGTTGAATTAAGGTGCTGTGTTACTTATTTTAGAATTATTCATGGATCGTGATGCACCTTGGTTGCATTGGGCTTGTATAGGCAATGGTGATAGTCTTCGGCTGCTGTAGATGAAGAAATGCAATGCAGAATGTTTCGGTGCACTTCTTGATAGTCATTGTCCTTCTGTTATTCTTAGTTGCTAGTGGAAACAGGATAATAGCAGTAATTTCGGTTAGGAAAGTAGCAGAAACTGGGGAGAGGCTTTTCACAAATTCCAGCAGCTTTTGCTCTAACGACCTCGCTTACTGAGGGCGGGTTTGAACTTTGATGTGATCATATTTAAGCTGTTCTGAAACCCCTTTTTGATGCTTTATAGTATCAGAGTTATCGATCTAGAACATCCCTTTGTTTTGTGCATCTGTAGGGTTCCCATTTTTCCATATCAAAGAGTTAAAACTTCCGTGTGTACATGTTTTGTTTAAATGGACTGCATTTTCTCCATTTTCTTTCGCTTTTGCTGTCTTCCTTCTGTTGTAGCAGACATTATCACAATTCACAAGACTTTCCATCTCTTTCTCAACCTGTTGTTACTTGTTAATGCTACCTCAATTGTGTTTTTTTTAAAGTTGGAGCTATGGCTCTCTAGTTTATGACCAACTTTTGGAGAATTGGGAATGGCCCTTAGGCTATACGTGGTCTCTCTGAAGGGGCTCAAGGCTAATAGTAATGTTACAAAGAAGCCTGCTAGGCCCGAGGTAACTTCTAGTTCTTTCGTTTCCCAAAACTGACTTTTGGGCGTGTGGTTTTCATAAACTTTGAGGCGAAGTTATAAAGCTTTCTGATGTTTTTTGGGGTTTGCTTCGGTTAAATTTGGTGAAGGTGGCGGTTGCGATCAATCGGCAGACGGAGCCGGTGAAGATTTCTCTGAAGGACTGTTTGGCATGCAGGTGAATTGTCCTTTCTGTTTCCATCTTAGCTTGCCCCATACGAAAATTCTTTATCTTTGTTTCTGTTTTTGTAATTTCTGGCTACCCAGTTACCAAAGTCGGTTTCTTTGTACTTCAATTTCGGTTTTGTGTTTGGTTGCCATGATTTGTCTAAGCTTGAATGAGCTTCTTCAACGTATGGTTTATTACGTGGTTGTTTTTTTGCAGTGGATGCATTACATCAGCGGAGACAGTAATGCTGGAGAAGCAGAGTTTGGATGAATTCCTATCTAATATCGATAAAGGCAAAGCTATCATTGTTTCCCTATCACCACAGTCCAGAGCTTCTCTTGCTGCTCATTTCGGCCTCTCTCCACCTCAGGTTTTTCAGTGGTTCTTATTTATGTTCCAAGGGTACACAATGCAAGTGTTTTGGTCAGCATGTCTGATGTAGTCATCTTCTTTTTCTTTCTGTGTATATCATTAGGTGTTCAGGAAACTCACGACATTTTTTAAGTCCTTGGGAGTTAAGGCTGTATATGATACAAGTTGCAGCAGAGACTTAGCACTGATCGAGGCTTGCAATGAATTTGTCAGTCGATATAAAGAAAGCATCTCGAATGAAGCTGAAAAATCCAAAGTATCATTGCCTATGCTTTCATCTGCATGTCCAGGTTAATTTTCTTAGCCTATGCATTTTGCTTCCCTGTTAGTTTGCTTATGTTCCTCTCATTCATGATGCCAAAGTGAAAAAAGATGTAGGCTTAGATTCTGTTATTGGTATGGGTGATACACAAGGCAGGAGGCCTTGCTTAGAGAAACTCAAGAATGGAAACACAATATCTGAAATGTCTCCCTCCTATTACAGGTTGGATTTGCTATGCCGAGAAGCAACTAGGATCTTATATTCTCCCTTATGTATCTTCTGTCAAGAGTCCCCAACAAACGATGGGGACGATCATTAAGCGTCATGCATGCTATAGGATGGGTCTTAGGTGATTATTCTATCTCTCTTCCCCCTTTTATGTAGTTTGAGGTAAAGGTTGTATTGATCTGATTGGTGTAAACTTGTTTATAGACCGGATGATGTTTACCATGTCACCATAATGCCCTGTTATGATAAGAAGCTCGAGGCATCAAGGGATGACTTCACTTTCGAACTTGAATCGCCGGAACAAACCAATGACAACGGAGCAATTGTTACAGAGGTAGACTCGGTTTTGACATCTGGTGAAATTCTGGATCTGATAAAGGTGAGAGGTTTCAGAATGCAGTGGTTTTTATGATCTTCTTTCCTTTTGTTCTTTTGACGCTGTGAGTTCTGTAGTTCTCATCTTTTGTTCATTTATTTGCAGTTGAAAGCGGTGGATTTCAAAGCCCTAGAAGAATCTCCTCTTGATAGAATGTAAGAGAGACCACAATGATTTCTGAAAACCAAATTCCTTTTTCTTAATTGCTTTGACCATGTAACTACCAAAAGCCGCCAAGTGAAGCTTATAATTTTCATCATATTCTGCAGGTTGACAAATGTTGACGAACAAGGGCATCTCTATGGGGTAGCTGGCAGTTCTGGGGGTTATGCAGAGATAATTTTCCGTAATGCTGCAAAAACCTTGTTTGGAAGAGAAATCGAAGGCCCACTGAACTTCAGAACTATAAGAAACACAGATTTTCGCGAAGTGTCTCTGGAAGTAAGTTGCTTCTCTGTTTTTACTTCTCATAGTCATAGAATCTTATATGCTGCTAGATTCTAGTCCTCACTCCTCATCGTCCTCCAGTTTGCTTTGCATGGATTTGAGTTTATCCGCAGTATAGCAAATTCATTTTGCTTGCTCCCTATAGAAGCTTATGAATTTGGTGGCCATTGAGGTGTAATGCTGTTGCTTCGTGATTGTTAATGTACTGTTTTGATCTATATCAGGTGGATGGGAAAACTGTCTTGAAGTTTGCCTTATGTTATGGTTTCCAGAACCTGCAAAACGTTGTGAGAAAAGTCAAGATGGGAAAATGTGATTACCATTTCGTGGAGGTTATGGCATGCCCTGCAGGTCTGTCCTTTATTTGATTCAGTCTATACCCCATTTATCCCGGACTTTGGAAATTGAAAATTTGAAATCTAGCAAGCGTTTGTTGATTGCTTAATGCTTAATCAGGTTGCTTAAATGGTGGTGGTCAAATCAAGCCAATCCAGGGGCAGTCCCCGAAAGTGTTGCTTCAATCGATTGAAGCCGTTTACATGGACAATGTGAGTAGTTAAAGATCATGAGTAGGATTTCCTAGTGGGATTGAAATAACCTTGCATGCTAGGCCATCAGTAGGGTCGTTGAACTGTGAACTAATCATATCATTTCACAATAGGTTGTGAATGCAGATCCATACAACAATCCTCTTGTTCGAGGTTTATATGATGAATGGCTTGGACAGCCTGGTTCCGAGAAAGCTAAGCTATACATGCACACAGAATATCATCCCATCGTCAAGAGCATAACTGCACAGTTACACAACTGGTAAAGCACTTGCTCACTTCCCAAAATCAGATCCCTTCGATGGACAACGAATAATAGTCATCTGCACCTCCTGCTCGGGATCTCTTCCTTCCGTGCTATATATTTATAGGCACTGGAATCTTTGGCATGAGAGAGCCATGGCTGGTTTTGCCATGGACAATTTATTCTAAGGATGAGAAGCCATTTAAAGGCCAATTTTGATGAGGTAAACTTACACTTGTTCACTGGGCCGTCGTGCACTGCTTGTGTACATTATCTATGGTAGAAGAAGATGATTAAGAGGAAGAACACAGAATGTGAAGTCTTTAGGAAGAAGGCATTTTATACTTTGTAATCTGCTCCCCTAACACTTTTTGCCCTCTGTCGGTGTTCCCTTTGAGATTGGTGTACATGCCTTTTTGTTTAGGTAACTCTGTTCCTGTTTCTGGGTGTTGGATATCATCCAACAGGCAGTTTTGTCAAGTTATACTCCAAAGAGAGCAATAGTATTGTCCTGATGTGTATCTAAATTATGGTGGCGTATTCGGTGCACCCACTTTTTCGGGTGCACTCGGTGCACCCGCCTCATAATTGTCATTCTGACCATGCGATTCATGTCAAAACGGTATCAATTGTTGCTTATGATATTATGAACAAGAAGCACATGAATTTGAAAAAAAATCATTCAAAATTTTCTTTAATTTGAAGGATTTAGGATTTAGAGATTTAGGGTTAGGGTTTAGGTTTACAATTTGGGATTTTGGGTTGGGATTCAAAATTGAAGGTTAAGGGGTTAGGGTAATAGATTGATTTGTTATGATTCTATGTCATATCATCATATTATATTGAGAGTACTAATTAAAGTTCAAAATTTGATGTATTATGGACGCTTTTAGAGTTGGGTGCACTGAGTGCACCCAAAAAAGTGAGTGCACCGAAGTAGCCACCCTAAATTATAACCAAGTATGTGAAGGAATACCACAAGTTTTTTTGAGTCCTTACCGGATGTATAATGTATTGTAAGATATGCTCTGAGGGTTTCTGTTTATCTCTTCTGTAATTGTTGCTTACCCATGGTAAATGGAAGAAAAAGGTAACATTTTCAGTATCTTCTCTTAAGGTAAAAAAAAAAAAAAGTACCGCGTAATAAACTGGAACTCATCTACCAAAAATGGATTAGGAAAAGGGAATTCTTTCAAAAACAGGAAATTTGATTTAATAAATTGACTTCTTACTACGTTTGTTGCTGTGATGGATTGCATGCACGTCCCTTTGTCAGAAAAAAATTGACATTTTCTGGGTTTCTTAGGAAACTGAAACTGATAAAGTTTTGAATATCCATTTATTGCAACAAAATCCCTCGACAAAAGTGGATAGAAAGTCGCAAACGTTTCATTAAGAACAATAGCCCATCAGAAACCCACTTCTGCCTCTCATCAGCTCCTTCCCAGTCCCAGAGAAGCACCAGAATCTGAGATGAAATGGTAAGAAGGAGAGGACTTTGTTGTTTGTTTTGATATTCTGGATTTTGGGCTTTGCATGGCTTCATTTTTAACGATTTGGGTGTGGGATCTGTGCGTTGAATCATCAGACCCAACCCGGGCGGGTTGATGCGGGATGAGGCGGAGTGGGTCGGGCCGCATCCGGTCGGACCGAACCCGGTTGGACGTGATCGAACTGGTCCAACCGACCGGGTACCCGAACCAGGCGGGCAGCAGGGTTGCTCCAGGCTTTCCAGGGCAGTTTGACGAGTTCAACGGCCCTTATCCCCCTTTCGCGAACCAACAAGGCACGGGGAGGACACCGATGGGACCCGGGGATGGCGGATGGAGGCAGAGGAATGAGCTGGACCGGCGAGCGGGGTATCCGGACGAAAGGGAGGACAACTGGGGGCGTGAAGGAGAACCGCGATTCTCGCAGGATTATTCCTATGGACCTGCAGGTTATGGAAGGTATGCCGGTTATTCCCATGGGTTTGATGCTGATGATGACATGGTGCTTAGAGCTAAACCTCCCACCATTGAGTTTCCAAAATTCAATGGTCGTGAGGACGCAGGTCTGTGGATATACTCAGCTGAACGGTGGTTCAAGAATCACCCCACTCGGGAGGAACAAAAGGCTCAGCTAGCCTCCTTTTAATTGGAAGGAGATGCGCTGCAATGGTGGGAGTGGATGGAGAGGACATATGCGGAAGCTCATACGCTAATCACTTGGCCTATGTTTAAGGAGGAGCTGCGATATCAATTCGGGAAATCTGACAGCCTGTTTGGATTGACAAAAAAGTAAGGAATTGGAATTCCATTTCCAATTCCATTTCCATATATTATGTTTGGAATAATAAAAAGGTTGAGAATTGAATTCCAATGGGTCTAAAATATGGGAATTACAATTCCTATCAAAAGTGATAGGAATTGAGAGAATGAAGATGGAATTAGTGGGACCCATCAATACTTTTTATTATTTTGTTGACCCACTATCATTTTACTCTCTTTCTCTCTCATTCATATTTCATTTCCCAAAATAAAACAAACATATTACATTATTCGTTATGGTTAAAAGTGCAATTCATTTCCATAGTTGTAGGAATTATACCAAACACTAGAATTGGAAATGGAATTCTATAAAAATAAAAAATTGAATTCCATTTCCATTTCCATTTCTTCCGGAATTGTATCCAAACAGGCTGTGAAGGATAGGCTCCGGAACAGCTGGCCAAGCTGCGTCAGACAGGGACGGTGGCGGAGTATAGGGCTGAGTTCTTCAAGTTGGGTAACCAATGCAAGGGCGTTCCGGAAGAGACATTGGTGGGCCTGTGCATGGCGGGACTCCGTCCGGAGATTGCAGCTGCTGTTCGGGTATTTGAGCCGGATTCACTACGAACTGTTTTCCGTCTTGCAGGTAATAAGGAGGAGGAACTGGCTAGCTGGCGGGGAGTGATAGGCCTTTATCAGAAGCCGAGGGGAGGACGAAGTGGTAGCGGGCCGAGTAGCGGGTCAGGAATCCCGGCGCCGGGGCCGAGCACGGGAGGGGGTGCGACGACTGGTCCACCCGCCGCAGCCATCCGAGCAGGACCAAGGGCACCGCCCAAAGGGTTTACTAGGCTATCTCCTGCAGAGATCGAGTAGAAGAGACGAGAAGGAAAATGTTTTAACTGCGACGAGAGGTTCACCTTTGGTCACAAATGCGGGAAGCCTGATTTAATGTTCTTGGTGGGGCGCTGGGAAGATGAGGCAGAGGATGAAGCTGCAGAGGACACAGGAGCGGGGCAAGAGAAGCTTCAACCTTGAGGACAAGGTTGCTTCCCAAGGAGGCGGGGATGTTAGAAACAAATAATTTACAGTTTTTTGGTTATTTTGTATTATTGTCGGTTTTGGTTAATTGGGTGATTATTTGGGATATTTGGGGAATAAGCAGGGAGTTGGTTGGTATGTTTTATTATTCGGGTAGGAAGTAGATATTATGCAGACTATATATACTTGTAATTGGGGGATTAAGAGAATTAAGCAATTACAACACAAATAACCTAAACCTAATCCCACTCTCCCCTTCTCTTCCTTCGGCCCTCTCTCCCTCTACTCCCTTCCAAAAGCTGCGGCAGCAGCTCTCTCCTCCCTTCCCTACCTCTACATTATCAATTCTCAATCCCTAGCTAGGTCAATATCCCATTGATCTAGCTAAAACCCCCAATTCAGAACCTGTTAGAAACTTTGTTTCTAACAGATCTTCTAGCAGCTCTGGCAGCTACTGCTGCTACATTGGGGCTCTTGTACCGGTCAGAGCTTCTAGACAGCTTCCTGAGATTATTGATAGACCGTTATTTACACATGTTTTTACCCCCGTTCTTACACCGTTTGAGGTGTTGATTCTCGTGTTTTAGGCCGATTTCACGCTAGGTTGTGCTTGTTTGTGATATTTCAGGTCCTAGTACGTGAATGGAGGCTTGGGAGCGAGTCTGGGGTCGATTGGACAAAGATCGGACGCGTGGCGAGGTGTCAAGGAAGCCGCACGGGCAGACCGGGGCATCACACGGCCATGCAAGGTGCAACCCTGGCCGTGTGATTTTTGCCGAGGCCAAACACGGGCAGACTGGAATTTTCACACGGCCGTGCAAAGTGCAACCCTGGCCGTGTGATTTTTGCCGAGGCCAAACACGGGCTGGATGGAAATCCTACACGGCCGTGCGACCCTGGCCGTGTAGGAAGCCTGAAGACCGAACTTAATGGGACGCCGCGTTTTGACTCGCACGGGCAAAGTGGGGAAAAAATCCCAAAGTACACTAGTTTTTAAAAAAAATTCCCAAAATACATAAGTTATAAAAAAATTTCCAAAAGTACACATGTTTGAGCATCACCGTTTTAGACAAAAACGGTGAAGGTCATCACCGCTTTTGACCAAGACGGTGAATACTTCACCGTTTCAAACTAAAACGGTGAAGGGTTCACCGCGTTTGTTAAGAACGGTGAATACTTCACCGTTTTAAACAAAAAACGGTGAAGCCTTCATTTGAATTCCAAGTATTTTGATAACTCTAAATGGTTCTCCTCGTCGATACGATCGCGCTGCCGAAAACGGCTCGTCATTTCGACCTCAAACGAATAAGATACGCGCGTTTTAGTTTTTAGTACGCAAAAGTTACTTTAACGACATGTGCAGCTTTGAACTCACTTATCTCACTCGTTTGGACTCGGAATTGAGATCTGTAAAATTCTATGTGATCGTGGTTGATTTTCCCAACCTTTTTGTGTTGAGGGAAGATAATGATTCTTGATAAAATGATCCAGAATATTCATTCGACAACTTAAGTGCGTAGGATAGTTTTTAGACAATGCAAACTCAAATAACAACACCTAAAAATCACAAAAACAACATTGATAGTTCACTACAATGATAAAACGATAAATTCAATCATTTGCTTCATTTTGGCCCCCATCTCCACCTCTTCCTCCTCGTCCTCCACGAGTTTGTTGTTGCGGATGTTGGAATTGAGAGAACCATATGTAACAACATCATGGGTTCTCTCAATTCCAACATCCGCAACAACAAACTCCGAACCCCCCGATCATTCGTCAAGCTACCGGTCCAACTCAGCCACCACCACCACCATATGTAACCCCAGTTGGGGCTCGGGTCAAGAGAAATCCGCGACCAGCCGTTGAGCGAGCCCGCCAAGAAGCAGTGGCGGAGGGGGGAAGAAGGGGTCGAGGACGTCGTGGAGGACGAGGAGGAAGAGGTGGAGATAGGGGCCAAAATGAAGCAAATGAGTGAATTTATCATTTTATCATTGTAGTGAACTATCAATGTTGTTTTTGTGATTTTTAGGTGTTGTTATTTGAGTTTGCATTGTCTAAAAACTATCCTACGCACTTAAGTTGTCGAATGAATATTCTGGATCATTTTATCAAGAATCATTATCTTCCCTCAACACAAAAAGGTTGGGAAAATCAACCACGATCACATAGAATTTTACAGATCTCAATTCCGAGTCCAAACGAGTGAGATAAGTGAGTTCAAAGCTGCACATGTCGTTAAAGTAACTTTTGCGTACTAAAAACTAAAACGCGCGTATCTTATTCGTTTGAGGTCGAAATGACGAGCCGTTTTCGGCAGCGCGATCGTATCGACGAGGAGAACCATTTAGAGTTATCAAAATACTTGGAATTCAAATGAAGGCTTCACCGTTTTTGTTTAAAACGGTGAAGTATTCACCGTTCTTAACAAAC